AGATCAAGTTTGTTTCAAAGTCACCCCCAGTTATTAGGATCATTTGAAATTGGACCACAGATGATCTTAGATAACAAACAGACCATTTCCAGATAATCTGAAATAAATTTTAAATTGTCTGTTTTGGACCTAAACACAATCTGTGACTGTGACCCTGGCTCAGTTTCTATTTCCTTCATCTTATCCTACATACTACTTCTACATAATAGCCCCAAAATACCAATTTTATAATTTAATTAGCCTCTTAAAAACAATAATTCCTCACAATTTTCTATAAAATAAAGTCTAAACCAGTGGTTTACAATCTGAAAGCTAACAGAATGGGTTGGAGGTCCACATGTTATTTTGAGGTATATTTCTCAATAAAATATGCAATATAACTCACTGTCACAAAAAAAAACACCCACATCCTTTTTAACTCAAAAATGTATTTTAAAATATATGCAGTTACTATGCTACTGTGGTTAATAACTAAAATTCATTAAAAGCACTGAATCTATACTACTTTTTGTCATGAATTTTCCTAACTAATTTATACTAATATTATATAGCTACTGTCATATAGAAGTCAACCAAATTTTGAATTAAGAAAGGGGCCCTCATGCTCAAAAAAAGGCAGCAATGGTTATTGTCACTGAAGGCTCTCTAAAATCTGGCCTTACCTAACCTGTCCTGACTGCATTTCTCACCAAAGTTCCTAATATAAACTTTACATACATTCCAGTAGTCTTCTTACTGCCTACCTGAGCATGCTTTACTTATTTTCTATTCTATCATCATCTACTACACCTAGAATACCCTTCCAGTCATTCTCATATCATACTTTAAGGTGCTGATCAAGTTCCACATTTTCCATAATGCCTCCACCACAACTATTCCAGTATATATGGTTCTTTGAACTCCAAGAACATTAACCATGCAGTGTATCATTCACTATGGCATTTAATCATATGGCGTCTTTCAGTCACTAAAGTCATATTTACTTTCTCTAATGAACAAGATTATAAACTCTTAGGAAATAAATTTCATGTCTTACATTTTTTTGTATTCCCTTCATTATTACTATGCTATGCAAACATATATTGTTAAATAAATAACAAGACTAGAGACAAAAAATATGTTTTCTTAAAGTAGGGGTAGGTCAATTATCTAGTATTGAGGAATATTTTTTATTCAACTAACATTTTCTCTACTTCTCCCCAAATTTTGCAAGCAGAGCTAATTTGCTATGGTTTAGATGTTTACTTCATACCTCGAGGACTTAAGTGTAGTTTTTTGATTAATTTTTAAAAATAAAATTTTTTAATTAGCCTTAAATGCTATTGTTCATCAACACTGTAATTCTTACAATAATGCCATTATGTCACAACTTAATCTTTGTTACAGGCTATATTTTGAAAGAATTTGCAACTTAAATCATATTATTTAACTAAGAGTTGCAAATTAATAGACATGGTCAGATTGAATTATTACTACTACTACTACTTCTACTAATAACAATACCTCATGGTTCACACATTTTTCATTTTATAGTTGAGTATTTTTTTTTAAACATGATAGTCATTTGTTGATATACCTCAATCCCAATAAAACCTTCTCTTGAAACAAAGAGAAAAGAATAAGCAAAACCAACCAAGTGACTGCATCTGTCACAACTACACAACATTCAAAATTCTCAATAAATCCCATCTCTACTTGATGAGAGTAGGAAGCTATTTTTTCAAATATTGCTTGAAACCTATTTTTGTCCCTGAGTTTAACTGCATTTCAAGATTTTTTTAATTTACATTGTAAGGGGCACCTAGGTGGTGCAGTGGATAGAGCTGAGGCCATGGAGCCAGGAGAACCTGAGGTCAAATCTGGCCTCAGACACTTGACACTTACTAGCTGTGTGACCCTAGGCAAGTCACTTAACTCCAATGCACCCCCCCCCACAAAGTCAAAACAAACAAACAAAAATTTTACATTATAGTCATCACATAGTGTTATCAGAGTTCTGCTTTCTTCACTTTGTGTCCATTCATGTAAGTCTTCTCATGATTCTCTATCTTCAACAATAATCCATTATATTCATATACCTATTTGTTCAGCTACTCTCCAAAACATAGTCATGTGTTTTGGTTTCTAGATTTGTGTTGATGTGAGTATTTTGGTAAATACAGGACCTCTATCTCTTTGCTCTTCCCCAAGGTACATGCCCATGAGTGGCCTCGATTAGAATCTTGAGAGGCAGAATGGCTGCAGATAAGGAAGAGGAGGAGGAATGCCAGCAGCAGCCAACAACTGCTGACGTTTCTACAATGCTCTAATGTCTGAAAAGCGTATTTGATCTCCATAAAAACCTGAAGGAGCTGCAATTATTATCTCAGTTGAACAGAGGAAGAAGAGTTGAAGATGGCAAGACTGACATTAGAATCAGTACAATCTCAGTAAGATCCTTGCTTCCGTTGCACGCTAATTGCATGACTGCAGGCACAGTGCTTTCTCTCTTGGGGCCCGGGACAACCCTTTAAAATATAAGCTGCGAGGGGCAGCTAGGTGGTGCAGTGGATGGAGCTCCGGCCTTGGAGTCAGGAACACCTGAGTTCAAATCTGGCCTCAGACTCTTGACACTTACATTTGCTAGCTGTGTGACTTTGGGCAAGTCACTTAACCCCGACTACCTCGTCAAAAAAAAAGCAAAAAAATTTTAAAAAAAAATGAAATAAAATATAAGCTGCAGAACAGTTGCTGATGTCCAAAGAAAAAAGAAGTTTCTTCAGCCGAAGTTTACTCTATATCAAGGCCATTTCCCCAAAACAAAAGCTTTCCCATAATTGCTTTGGTGATTTTTTTCAGAGAACATTAACATAATGAAGAACTTAATTTTAAAAAAGAAAAGGCCTCAGGGATCAATATATGGTCAATTAATTAGGCTCATAAGACATAAGAGTAATATTGATTTTGTTTTAGAGGCGCACTCTACCACATGACCATAAAAATGAAAGGAAAGAAGTACCAGGAAGAAAAACACTGACTGAACTAAGAGTATCATGGATTATTGAATGGCAGGCAATTCATTCAGAATCTTGCTGAAAATTCTATTAACTAGTTGAACCAGGAGTTAGCTTTCCATCTGGATCTGTAGCCTTTGTAAATAGGTATAAAACTGGCCCATTCTGTGCCAATTTAATGCCAAAGAAATGTCTAAACACCTAACTTGTATACTATGAAAATAAATGTCATGGAATTATAAAGTTCAAAAGTAATATAAACACACTATTTAGTAACCCCACGTGCCTTCAGGTAGGATTCACCAAATCACCACAGATACTTGGTGTAATTCTAAAACATACTTTTTTTCAATAGGTAATTGGTGGTAATTTTTTTAATTAAAGGTGTCAGAACAAAAGTTTTTCTACATCATTAACTAAATCAGTTGCCACTGAAAATGATCCAACATCTAATCTGGTACAGTGAATATAATAATGTATTTGGGGATTTAAGTTACCATGTAGTATTTCACAAACTGAAATATATTTCTTTGATACAGGTGAAATATTGTTGTTGTTTAGTCATTTGAGTCACGTCTAACTCTCTGTGACCCCATTTGGGGTTTTCTTGGCAAAGATATTGGAGTGGTTTGCCATTTACTTTTCCAGTTAATTTTCCAAATGAGGAACTTAGGCAAACAGAGTTAAGTGACTGCCCAAGGTCATACAGCTATTAAGTCTCTGAGGCTAGATTTAAACTTATCAAGATGAGTCTTCTTGTCCAGGCCCAGCACTTCATTCATCAAGCCACCTAGCTATCCCTAAAAATATTGTACTTATTGTAAATAATAACATTGTAAACACTGTTACTCACTGTAATGATCTAACAAAATAAAATTTGTAAATTGCAGGTGACAATCCATTTGTTTCCATCAATATAAAGCCTCATTATTACGGAAACTAACAGAAACAAGTTTGTTGTAAAGGAATTTGATTTGTATACTAATTTCATTCTAAAATATGCGGTGAGTAAATAAAGACATGATTTAAATACTTTGCTAAATGTATAATGCTTGGGCAACACAGCTTAAGTTTCTGCCGTCACTGCTAAACAAAACTGGAAAGCTTTTTAAAAATAATTATGTTATTTTATTTTATTTTGGTGAAGAAATTGGGATTAAGTGACTTGCCCAGGGTCACACAGCTAGTGTTATGTGTCTGAGGCCAGATTTGAACTCAGGTCTTCCTGACTCCAGGGCCAGTGCTCTATCCAGTGAAAGTTTTAATAAATATTCTAATAATATAACTTGGCAGGTGCGAACAAAAAGATTATACAATTGAAAATAACATAAACATACTAATAATATAAACTGACTTGCTGAGGCATTAAGAGTCATGCTAATTCTAGTCTACTGATCAATTCTGAAATAGCTCCAAATTTGTACTTTATCACAGTTAAACAAAATTTTAAGGGTCCACGATGTAAAAAAGACTGTAGAAGAAACTCACATTTCCTCCTATGTTGGCTCAAATTATCACAACTTTGTTTTATTTTGATTAAAATAACTCTCACATTATAGTTAACTGTTAGTCAAACAAGTTTGCAGAAGAGTACGCAATTGTCTGGAAATCATACAAAAGGCATTTCCTTTCAGCTTCTGGCCTGTGCAAACAATCAGGTGCTACATGTGTGCCTCCTAGTCCCAAAGCAACTAATCTCTGCTCCAGGACCATACCTGCTAAGTACAGTTAAGTACTGGTTTATGTCTTATTCATTATCTGATCGATTTCAGTGGGTCATTTGCAATGACCAAACTTTAATGTACAGTATGATTAATTTATTGGAGTACAGCAGTTTCATTCAGGTAATGCAATTTTTTCCACCCCCCTCCCCAACACCAAACAAAATCCAACATGTATTTTTCCTACAGATTTCTAAATCTTCCCACACACATTCAACTTTGATTCAATATGAACTAAAAGTTTCAAGAATGGACTATAAGAGTAATATTAATTTTATTTTCCTACCTTTGCAGCAACAATGCTAAGACCCATGCCATTTTGCTTCTTAAGTGTCACAGTGATTATTTCTGGTTCTTTTCTCAGAGGCTGCGTCTAAAGGACAGCAAATAGTTTCCATTTTAATCTATGCGTCCTAATTTCTAAGAACTTATTTCTTAAATACATGTTATTTATCCCTTAAAACAGAAAAATGTGAAGTCTTACACTTGGGTTAAAACAAATACGATCTGAAAAGTACATGGGGAAGGCATGATTAGATAACAATTTGTATGAAGAAAGATCCGAAGTTTTAACAGAATACAAGCTCAGTATGAGTCAATAGTGTAATAAAGAAGGCAAAAACACAAAGCAACTATATTAAGAAGTATAGTTTTCAGGAAGAAATGATAATCCCACTGGTCTCTGCCTCAGCTACATCACATCTTCAGTGCTATATTCAAGCACATTGATGAGACAGAAAATATTCAGGAGGGCAACTAGAATAATGGAGGGAGTGGAATTTATGTCAGATGAGGATCAGTTGGTGGAACTGGGGAACTCAGTGAACTTGATAGCTACCTGCAAGTATTTAAAAGCCTGTTACAGAAGAGAGATAAGACTTGCTTGGTTTGGTCCTACAGAAGAGAAGCAAGAGCAATGGGTGGAGGCTGCAAAAGGTCAAATTTAGGCTAGATATAAGCAAAAACTTCCTATTATTAAAGACATCAAAAAGTGTAACGGGCAGTCTGGCATATTATAATAATGCACCAGTTTCCAAGCATGTAAGCAATTTAAGCACATTTTTCTATTTAAAAGGAGAATGTGATATATATAGTGATAAACATAAACAGAGGCAAACATGTACCCCAAAAGGTGCTTTTAAAACTCTTAGTATTAAAAAAGCTATTCAAAGGTGCTTTTTAAAAGCTGTACAATTGCTGTCTACTAGAAGTATGTTAACTTTAGGCAAAGGAATGATTTTCATGTATTGTTTTCAATCCTAGGGACATTTATTCTTCTTGAGTCTCACACATGCTACCCAAAATACTTGCCAGTTCAGTGTTCTCTCTCATAAAGTGACTTTCATAATCTGCTCCTTCAAAATATATTGTCCAAGTACCTGGTGAACGTGGATGAGGCAATAACCTACAGAACCCTAAAGGGGGAACAGATTGGGAAAAAAAAAAATGAAATTATGTCATATGTGAAGAGACATGCACCTTACTGAGAGTCAACTAACCAAATTCTTGCTATATAGAAGTATTTCATATTTTTTATTCTCTACCTTCCTATTGAGCAAAAGATTATAGGCAGATTCAAAATCAGATGCTGTACTAGATCCCCTATACTCAATAAATGAAACAAAGTTTACAAAATTAATGAAACCTTCAATTTACCGAAGTAGTTCATAGTTCATTATTTTGAGAGGAAAAAAGGTACTAAATCCATTTGGAAAAATCTAAATGTCTTCCTGGTCAAAGACCAATAATATAAAAAGTTCTAAATTACTCACTGAATTTTCAATAATTTTATATTCTCTAGAAAATAAAATTTACTATAGAATAAACACCAAAGGACAACAACTCTAATTCTTTCTAAGCAGCAGAGCAACAATAAGACGTCATTCCCTAGGCTTTGGACCTTGTTGGCATACAAAGCGTTAATTTGCTAACACATCTTGTGATTTTTTTTTTAATCAGAAAGTAGATCACTTCCAAGAAACAAGTGTTAATTAATAAATTAAGGAAAAATATCAAGAGAAATATATCCATTTAAAATGAAGAAAAACAAATCTTACTATAGCAAAATCTTTTAGTTACATTTTCACAGAATTACAACTAGGGAAGCCCTTAGAGACTACTTAGTTATTTGCACATACAACAGTATCTGCCCCAGTTCAGATTTTCCCTGAAATAAAGTATAAGTTTTGGTTTTCCTTTTACCTGTTTTAAGAAGGTTGCCACATTACCAAGTTATTTAAATTGTCTTTTGTATAATCTGAAAATATTATTTCTGTGGCATTTAATAAATGTAACATTATTATGAGGAACTTAAAACAATCATGCAAATATACTTGTATTTTACACATTTAAGGACTGCATATGTAGGATGAGCCTGTACTTGTGTTCTCTCATATCACAAAATTCAGTAGAATTGTAAGAGGAAATGTAAACTGGGGCTGTGTTGTAACTCTTTAATCAGTTTATGAAGAACTAGGTGTTAAGAAATATAAACAATGATGTCACTAAAAAAATATAATCCTCTGTGAGCCTTAAGCCTCTGTACAATGAATTACATGTTTCTTGTTGTTCATCACATATGTAATAGCCTAGTAATGCCAAAAGAGACATTCAGAAGAGGTGATGGGTAAATTATGAAGAAAATTCACTCAAGCCAGTGTTTCCATATTTACTGGCCATACCATCATGGGACTACTTATATTTTCAATATGGTACAGGTATTAAATTTGATACTTGTTTAAATAAAAGAAATGTGAAAAAGCCATGTAATTTTCTCTATGCTAAAAGCATGATGGTTTATTTATAAATAGCTGAACTTATTTTCTGGTGGTTGAGAAAACAATTCCCATCTCTAAGAGCAAAGCGTTCTAACTCTCCAGAAGTTTTGGAAATAATGTAGTACTTCATTTTAGCTGAGATGCAATTAATTTGCAATTTGAAGAAAAAATCATTTTGAGGGAAATATTATACTAGGTATATTAGGTAAAAGATACACATAGATTTAAAATTCCTTTAAAAAATTATATAAAAAATGTCCATTCTTCTATTACGACTTCAATTTGGTTTGTTTTAGTGACATCATCGTTTACAGTTCTTAAAACCCAGTTCTTCACAGACTGAATTCTATCACTGTGACTTTGCCTGTCTATGAAATCCAATTTACAAAACTGTTAACACTCACAGGGCAATGTACCATATATGGACATGAAGTTATTAATGCACATATATTCTAAGATATTTTTTCAGGTGAGGATTATCCATACAAATGTATTAATATAATTTTATCTCTGACTGTATTCAAGTGCAAGATGACAGAACAGAGTCAGATGAAATCTATCACTATGGAACATAACAAATATAATTTTGCTACATAGAAATTATCTTATCTGCAATGTTATTCAATTTCACAAACATTTACGCAAGGAACAGTTTGCCAGGTCCTTGAGATTTAAAGATACAAGTCAATAAACATTTTTAAAGTACCAGAACTAAGTGAGAAGTACTGTCTTACCCTCAAGCACCTTTTATTTAATAACCAAAGAGACTAGGTATGTACACAATATAAAAGTAAGTATCAATACAGATTAGACTACCAGACATTTTAAAAAAGCTGATATTGTAAAGATTATCACTTTACCTTTGAGTCTACTGTTAGCTAGAAAAAATGACCAGTAATACTGTTAGAACTGAATGTAAAGTAAAAGACAAGTAAGGAGGCCTGAACTCATGGCAATGTTCTAGATCAATAGTTAATTTCAGAAGATCCATGAACTTGAATTGGAAAAAGAAAATTCCTTTTTTTTTTTTTTAAATTTTCACTAACCTCTAACTGAATGTTAGCTTCTCCTTCAGTTAAAATATATTATTCTGAGGAGTTCATAGGAGTCTACAGTAACAAAGGGTCAAGACACTAAATGCTAAAAAGTTAAGAAATCTTTGTTTTAGACAGTCAGAAGGAAACAATCCATATGGGTTATTACTGTATGTGTTTTAGAATAAGTTACACTTTAATTACATAAATTATATAATATCCCCGTACTTGTTAGTCTATGAATCCTACCATTTTAAAAAACAATTGCTTAATGTCTAAAACATGCTAAAAATTCAGAGCTGGTCAATGTTTTATCAACTAATTTTAAACTTAACTATCAAAAATAGTAAAGAACAAAGCACTAAGAAGTTACTAACAAAGGAATTAATAGGGTGCTCATTAAGAATCAGAGCAGCAAGTTCAGAAACATAAAAGAGCTATCAACTATATAGTACAGATGAGAAAGATCCATTGGGGGGGGTCAGGCAATGGGGTTAAGTGACTTGCCCAGGGTCACATAGCTAGTAAGGGTTATATGTACGAGGTCAGATTTGTCCTCCTGAATCCAGGGCCAGTGCTCTATCCATTGCGCCACCTAGCTGCCCCCAGAAAGAGCCATTCTTAACAAGGACATAAACACATGTAGGAAAACAAAACTTACAAAATAAACCAGTAGGTGGTAATTTTATTAAAGACCAAAATATGAGAAAAGCAAAAGAAGGCCTAAATGTTATTCCAAACTAATGTAATTCCAAGTTAACAACAAAAGCAAACATTAGAGCGAATATTTTCTGACAATTATGGCTACAGGACCATAGATTCCGATCAAGAAAAGCCCCCAATAACCAACAAGTCCAACTCCTACATTTCAGAGATGAGGAAAGTGAGGCCAAGGTGAGATTAACTGACTTGCCTATGGCCATATAAGTTATTAAAAATCAAAAGTGGGATTAGAACCCAGGGTTTCAGAGGCAGTACTCTTTCCAATGTACTACCAATGTCAAGATACTTTGTTGTTGTTGTTCAGTCATATTTGATTCTTTGTGACCCCATGGACCTTAGCACACCAGGCCCTTCTAAACTCCCTATCTCTCGAAGTCTGCCCAAGTACGTTTGTTGTTACTTCAGCTAATACGAAGATACTAGCTAGACAAACAGTATTGAGTATTCACTCACCTCTCTGACACAGTGGATCCAAAAATTCCTGTAACCCATTTGGAACATTTCGCACAACATCACAAGAATAGCCATCTTCTGGCAGAAGAAAGGGTAGTTGAAGATCAGGATCTTCTTCTAATTGTACCTCTCTCCCATCACTACGTGCTAATTCATCAGCTGTATTTTCAGCAACAGCTACTACATTTTCTATGAGATCCTAAATGGAAAAAAAGCAAATAAAATTAGGAAGAGAAACTACATTAACAACACAGTTTAAAATGTGAAATTTTTGTAATAGAACTAAAATTTTAGAAAGCATAATTTGTATAAAAAATATATTACAAATAGGCAGGAGAGAAATGAAAAACACTATTAAAGTATTTCAGATTAGATTTGCTAATATGCTAAAATTCCTTTATAATGTTTTATAATATACAAAGATTTGCTACTGAAGATGAAAAAGCAAAAGAATTTTAGATCTGTCAATCTTGTAACAAATCTCACATATAAATGACCTAGGTATTAAAATTACAAAAGGGTATTTTTTAATTTTTAAAATGAAACATTTTTTATCCTTTTTCAAATAAATTGTTTCCAATACAATTGCTTGGAACTGTGCAGACCGTTGCATGCATATGTCTGTACACACACAGAGCTACTTCATATTTGTATACAAAAATATGCCCTGCAAATCATTCTGAAGGCATATTCCAAGTCTATAAAAAACTCAGAGAAAGACTGAAGTTCTATGTCATGTAATTCCAGTGGATCTAAAAGATGAAACATTTAAAAAAATTATTTTTCTAGTAAAAGTAAGCATTTTATAATAAATTGTTATACTGCAAATTCCTTTTCAAAAAATATTTCATATTCTGCAAGAAATATGCCTAAGATTAACTTACTGATGGGATAAAAGGTTCATCTGGTGCACAGTGGTAATTTTGTAATAAGGCTTGAAGTTGCAGTGAATTTAGCTTAAAGCAGGTACTATTAATATTTGGAATATCCTCAGGTGAATATTTATCCATAGTAAGTAGTGTGGTTGCCTGAAAAGCAGAAGATTTTCATTGTTACCAAGATTTATAGTATAAATCATTATAAGTTAATATAGTAAAGTAATAGAGTAAAAGTATAAAATGATATAATTCATAGAGGACTGGCCTTAAAATCAGGATAACTATCAGATTATAATTTACAGAATCAATGCATCTGCAGTGATTAAGGAAGTTTCCTTGACAGAAGGAGTTCCATACACCAATGAAATCAAAGGTCCAAAGCCACTCAAACCCTACCCCCACCTTTCCAAATTAAAAAAAAATAAATAAATTCTTAGATTAATTTTAATAGGGAAGAATAGTATGAATAAGCAAATATTTTTAATTTTAAGATTTTTGAAAAAGATTTGCACTTTTATTACCTCTAAAAAGAGGGACCCTTCTAATCTAAAAAGCAGAATGCTTTAGGAGCCCCTTTAAACAAACTTCACTTCACACAGATTATGAAATATTTCTAACTTTTTTTCTTCCGTCATTAAAACATTTCCCCTGCAATCTGCCTTTTATTTATTAAATCTTTTCCTCCTTTGTAGTGCCCAAATCCTCCATTAGTAGAAGTAAAACAAAGTGTTATGGTAACATATTTTCTACAACCATTTGAGTCAAGGAAATATCACAAGAAATATCAACATATATCAGCATGCCCAATTTTTTCACTTTTCCTCCATATACCTGGTTCACTTCTCTGCCATTCCATTTAAAACAAAGGGTTCAGAAATTCAGAAAAAAATATAAAAGATAACAATAGATCCAACATGCACATTGACATTGAAAAGTTTTATCTCAGTTTAAGTAACTCAGTGGAGAATGCCCTTTTTGTCTAGTTACTAACTGTAAAAATAAGACACTCTCATCTCTCTAATGTTTAAATCCTTTCCTTGCAGCAGTTCAAACCAAGAGAATGATTTACTTTAGTAATCTACAAGATATTCCAAGAGGTTTTTTCCATTCTGAAGTAAAATCTTTTAATGTTAAAAATCTTACTAGATACCACTGGACATAACGACAAAGGACTCAGCAGCAAACCTTTTATTTTATTTAACCTTTTAGCTTACAATCCTATCCAGTCACCCCCTCCCTGAGAGCTACAAAAAGTACCCTGAATCCCAATATTTACCTGTACAATTCTGCTAAGATGGCAGTCAGCAGCGAGCTCAAGGCCCTGTTTCTCTGCCCAGGCCTCAATATGCCCCAACTGCTGACGGATAATGGCTCCCCAGTAATGAGAACATAACCCTGAGTCTGGGTCAGTAACGAGTCTGTTAAACAGCCACATGTTAATAAAATGAAAGAGCTGAGAGAAGAGTTGAATCGTCAGGGCAGCATTTACCCTACATCTTCGTAATAATGACATAGCTCCAGTGAGTGTGTGCAAGACATCGTCTGTTCATAGATACAAGAAGACAAAGAGATGTTATGAATGAATCCTTCTTCAAGCAAAAAATTCAGAAATAATATGTAAGTTAACTAAGAAAATGTCAATCATAACACTGGTTGATTGTAGTGCATTCCCCTAGACTCCCACATTTAGCCTAATTTGTAAAACTACAATCACCCAAAAATCTTAACTAAGATCTGTATCCTATTTCAAGAAACTGATTTCTATCTGTGTGGGAACTCCCTGCAGGGATGGAAAATTGCTATCACGCTACACTTTAGTAGACTCTTTCATGAGTTATAGCCAAAAAAATTCAAATTTAGTGGCCAAATTTCATTCCACATGACAGACATCTGAAAATGGATCCCTCACTTCCTAGCCTGGTAAGAATTACTAACGCTTGTGATCTACTGCAATAGTCTCTGAGAACTCAAGGTCTCCTCCACACAAAACAGGCATGGGCAACTGAGGAGGAAAATGACTTGTAAGCACTTTAAAAAACATTGAAAAGATATGAAAGATCTGACTACATTAAAAATGAAAATTCAGAATTTTCTACATGCAACATTTAATTCAAATCCAGACAATTATGTACTATACAATTTACTCATTTCTGAGATATTTACAAATAACTCATAGGTGTTAAACATTGAAAATCACACATATTTTTAAAGGGATAACAAGTAAAAATTATATGTATAAAAAAAAAAAAATCAGTATTCTAACCTATTTTAGGTCTTTGTAGACTGTTTTCTTCAGGATCATCCAGAAAGGCTGGCATGTAGTTATTAAGTTCTGACTGAAGACAATGAACCAAATATCTGAAAAAATTATACAAATATTAATTCATTATATAATAAAAAGGATAATATATCACACTGGAACTTAAAATACAAACATAAATAAATGGAATTTATAAACTATAAGACCAAAATCTGCTCTTTATAAATAATAAATTAAGATTTCTGTAAATGGATGTCAAATAGTTTCCATTGTTTTCCATTCTAGAACAGTGGTCACCAAAGTAGTGGTCACTGAACTCAAAAGGGGGTTATGACTTAATCCAAAGGGTTAGTAATCAAAGCTTGATCCTCATCTATCTTACGCCTTCCCCCCCCCAACTGTGGATGCATAACAAAGATTTGTCCTGAGACCTCTTTGTTTCTCTTCTCTGTCGTTATCCTTGACTTTTCATATTCTCTTAGTGACATATCTAATCAAGAGCTGATTGTCATTATATGTACCTCTACAATAACTCTTGCATCTGTCTCTACTCACAAAAAGTCCTAGTTCAGGACTTTTTCACCTCTCACTAGACTCTTGTGAGAGTCTCCTAAATGGTTTCCCAGCTTCAGAAGCTGAGAAGAAAGCTCCAATTCCTATGCCCTCCCTTCCCCTGGATTATCTCTAACAACAGTGTTAACTACTTTTATTATTTCCTCAGCCTGACTCCCATCAAAAAGTAGCTTCAAGGTTGAATAATCAGCCCTTTAGGGCAGCTATAACCAAACCCAACCCAGGCACCTGAAATAGCTGCACAAGCAAACTGGCAACACTCTCTCACTGGTTGTCTCTGCACCACCACCCCCCTCAAGGGGATCTACATTCTGTCTCCCAGATTACCACACTATGGCAGATTATGCTCCAGGCCATGGACCAGTAAATAACAGATCTTCTTCTTTTTTCTACTCCAAACATCTTTCATTTTTTGGTGGGAAAAAAATGATCATGCACAGAATGAGCAGGCGTGGGTAAGCTGTGATTATCTTTTCCCCAAACCCAACCCTCTTCTCACCTACCCTTTTTCCATAACAGAAACCAGCATTTTTTCAGTTTCCCAAGTTCTCAATGGCCTCCTAATTCTATACTCCTAACACAACTAAAACTGTCCCTTTCAAAGTTACTAATGAATCTCTTAATTCCAGAATCAGATAGCATTTCCTCAACTTTCATCCTCCTTGAACCTTCTACAGCATTTGACAGTATGGACCACTTTTTTCTGCTCCTTACTTCATTCTTTCTTCTTTAGGTTCAAATATTTGTAGGGCTATAATGTGGAGCCAGTGTTAGTTTGTTCCATTTGGCCACAGAGGGCAGAAACATAAACAATGGGTCTAAGTCTCACAGAGGACTAACTTGGCATGATAGGAGGAAAAACTTATCAATCAGAACTGTTCAAAAGTGTAATGAGTTGCGGAGTTCCATCTCCTGGGAGGTTTTCGAGCAGACACTGGGAATTACTTCACGGAGGGGTTGGCCTAGATGGCCATTGAAGTCCCTTCCAACTCTCCAATTCTGTGATTTTATGGATTCTCCTGTCTAACCAGCCTCTTTTGCTTGATCCTCATCTATCTCATGCCCCCCCCCAACTGTGGATGCACAACAAAGATTTGTCCTGAGACCTCTTTGTTTCTCTCCTGTGTAGTTATCCTTGACTTTTCATTTTCTCTTAGTGACATATCTAATCAAGAGCTGAATGTCATTATATCCACCTCTACAATATCTCTTGCATCTGTCTCTATTCACAAAAGGTCCTAGTTCAGGACTTTTTCACCTCTCACTAGACTCTTGTGAGAGTCTCCTAATTGGTTTCCTAGCTTCAATTCTTTCCGTTGTCCAATCTATCCTCCACAAAAAATATATATATAAATAAAATCTTAGTGTCAAAAGAAAAACCGGCCTTGGAGTCAGAAAGTTTTAGGCTAATGACCTGTCTCAGACAAATCGAGCTGCACAACTCTAACAAGACCCCTCAGTGCCCCAGACAAATCCATAGGATTACAGTTATCCCTTCCACATTGCAGGGGTTATGTAATCTGGAAAATCTGCATAAAATTTTTTGGCCCTCCCTTCATACTAGAAGTCCGAATTCTTAAGGTATTAAAAGATTAAAAAAAGTTGATATTATGCAATATATACATGTATTTTATGCATTTCTGAATTCCTCAACTTTTTCTATTTCATCTGCTGGCCTTCGTGTGCTGTCTGTTGCTTCCACAAAACTCCCCCCAAATTCCCATTTAATTTCTTATGCTGACCTGTGCTACATTGAAACCAAAATAGGGAAATCAAAATGTGGAAGGCACCACTGTATTAGTTATAAAACAATTGCCAGTTTGTAGTAGAGAAGGGGAGAGGCATTTCCTCACCAGGAGTTCCCTATACTGATAAAATTATAGCCTGGCATAAATAAATAAGCCTATTTTCTTCAATATTTGAATTTTTGCTTTACTTGATATTTTCCTTAAAG